TTTTAGGATGGCGGGGCTCGACGATAGCCTGGCGGGCCGCCAGGCTATAAGTGCTCTTGGAGAACCCTGTCTATGTATGTATCTATGTATCTACCTCTCCGACTGTCTATTTATCTATCTATTTATCTCTCCGGCCATCTATCTATCTATCTATGTATGTATCTATGTATCTATGTATCTATGTATCTACCTCTCCGGCTGTCTTATCTATGTATCTACCTCTCCTGCTATCTATCTGTCTGCATTTGCTGGGCTGCAGGTGAAGAAGTGGATTGCGGTGAGGGACGTGTCGACGGACAAGGTGCAGACACTCTACCGGCTGCTGTACGAGGCGCTGCTGGAGAACAAGCACAGCGAGGAGGCGACGCGAGTCATGATCGAGACGCTCTACCGGCTGCTGTACGAGGCGCTGCTGGAGAACAAGCACAGCGAGGAGGCGACGCGAGTCATGATCGAGATGCTCTCCACCTACACCGAGGACAACGCGTCGCAGGCGCGCAGCGAGGCTCACCGGTGAGACGTTGTCCGTCCTCCTCCTACTCCTACTCCTCCTCCTCCTCCTCCTCCTCCTTCGACGACGACGACGACGATGACGATGACGACGATGACTCCTCCTCCTCCTCTTCCTCCTCGTCCTCTTCCTCATTCTCTTCCTCCTCCTCTTCCTCCTCTTCCTCGTCTTCCTCCTCCTCTTCCTCATCTTCCTCCTCCTCCTCTTCCTCCTCCTCCTCATCCTCCTCCCCCCTCCTCCTCGGACGATGACGACGACGATGCCGAGAGGGAGGGGTGGGAGTTGAGGGGGGATTATGTTGGACAGTGGGATGGGACTGATGAGGAATGCAGGATGCGGTCAGTAGGAAAGATTGTTGTGGCTAATGTGCGTAGTGATTAGGAACAGAGACAAAACGAATACTAGAACCATAGCGATGAACATCCGCATCGAATAAATGCATGACCTCCGTAGAATGTGCATCAGCACAGGCATTTCTCGCATCAGTGCAGCAATTTTGCACGGCACAACATTTTCGAATGGTGCAGAATTTTGCACGTGGTAAAACGTAAAACCGACATGTTCTATATTTTTACGATAGGTGTTATTGTATGTTACGTCATGTATTATATGCTAAGTGCACGTCTGCATTCACAGCTGCATCGTGTCCTGCATCGCCGACCCAAACGTGCTCATCATGGACAATCTGCTTGCACTGAAACCTGTCAAATTCCTCGAGGGAGAACTCATCCACGACGTAGGTGTTGCCCATGGCTGTCACACGAGTGTTGTGGGTCAGGAAGCTGAGCGGTTTTTACAACATATACCTTTAGATGTTTTCTGAGTATTCATAAAAATATGTGTATATTATTGCGTTTTAGCACAATTTGTTATCACTCAATTATCTTATCAATCTTTGTAGGTATGTTTTTATTGTTTATCATTGTATAATGCTTCAGTGTAATATTTGCATTTCGCTTTTCCAGTTACTTACGATATTTGTGTCTGGGAAGCTGCCGCAGTACCAGTCTTTCTACCAGCAGAATACGGACTTTGTGAATTCATTAGGTAGGTTCAAAAAATATATTGCTGGTAGTGTGTGAATGTGCTGACGATAAGCCTTTTTTTCCTTTAGTGTAATCCTTCGGTTCAAATCCTTTTGTTTCCTTCCCTGTTGGTTCCTATGGAGGCAGAGGTAAGATTGACTCAAGGTCGCTATTATTGTCTTTTCACTTAGGTCTCCAGAATGAGGATAACTTACACAAGATGCGTCTACTGACCTTCATCTCGATGGCCGAAAACAAGAAAGACATCCACTTCGACACGATTCAGCAGGAAATGAAGATTTCGTCCGACGAAGTAGAATCATTCATAATTGATGGTGAGAATTTAATCTGACATTGCTTGCTACACACCGATGAAAGGTTTTCATGTGAAATACCCTTTCAGTACATTTTTCCCCCTGGCCAAAAAGGTCTGTGAGGTGGTAAAAAAAAATTGTGTGCTTGCGCGTTTAAAGGTCTTAGCAAATCGAGTACCACAGGTGCTCGCCCAGCTAGTGGGGTCCGGGGACATGCCCCCCAGAAATTGTTTGAAAAAATGGTGCAATTTGGTGCATTCTATGCTATTTTGGTGCATTATAAGCACTGTTCTATGGAAGAACAGTGATTTTCGTCAGCAAGACACATTGTTTTGGACACATTTCTGTGTGGCGGCTGAGAATTTGAGCGAGGCGCCCCGCCTCGCTTGTGTCAATGCCGGGTGAACACTGCTCTTGCAATATATATTATTTTTAAAGCCTATTGTTACTATAGCCAATCACTGCACGACTGTGTCCCGTGCTACTATACCTTGCTCCCGTTTTCCGGCAATTGTGCGACGTATTTAAACTCTCGCCTGTATTTCGCATCTTCTGCAGTCGTGCGAACGAAGAAGGTACTGTGCAAGATGGACCAGCTGCAGCGTAAGGTCGTCATCAGCTACTGTGTGCAGCGCACCTACAGCAAGCACCACTGGGTGCAGCTGAAAGAGCGGCTGGAGAACTGGCGCGGCAACATCACCAGCTCGCAGGACAGTCTCCGTTCGGTCATCACCATGGCGACGACGATGCCTGCCGGCCCGCCTCGCGCGTAGCGAGTATGTGTGCGCGCGGTGATGCTGGGGCAGGGCAGGGACTGGGGGGTTGACGAGTGTAGGGACGGGGGAGATGTAAAGCTATTCGGTAATCTTTGGTATGAAGTCACTTTTAGAAGGAAAGAATCCGATTCCGTGTTTGATTTGTCTTCGTGTTGCAGAACTGTGGGATCTCTCTCGTTAGCGCCAATGTTATTGCGTGACCTATGCACTGAGGTTTGATGGAATGGTGAACATTAATGTATACATGGATGGATGGTTAAGCACAAACCAATGTAATAGTTCTGTGAATGGACAGTGGGTGAAACTTGGTTCAGACTGCTGATCATGTCCTTGGTACAATTTCCTTTTCAATTGCTTTTCCTCAAAGTCGTAAAGGAATCTCTAAGAATTACAAAGTGAGATATGTTAACTTGACAATTATTGCCATTATATCAGTCCGACATAGTTCTTTAACAGGAATCGTGCACGTATAATCTGGTTAGCAAGTCATGGTCACATGGATGAGGATGTAAAATTAAATAAATTTGTTCTGGGTCTCCTTACAATTTATAGCAATTTATGTTAGTAATTGTTTATTTATGTTCAATATTTAATTTCATCCGTTCATCCATCCACCTATTCTCCATTTATCTGTCCGTTCATTCAGTCGTTGTATTGACTCTGGCATTAATTGCGTGAAAAGTACACGTTCAATACTAATACATGCAGTATATCGCTCATAGGCCAAACGCACATCTGAGACGCGAATTACACCAGGATTTATTTTGCCTGTATTAACATTGTTCATCTTCGCCGTAAAGACACCCGCACGCATACACGCACACCACACCAATTAAATGTTACAGTGACAATTACACACGGTACGTGATTATAAATTATTACTCCCGAACGACGACGTCATATTGGACCCTCTTCTTATTACGCATACACAGTGAGAAATTGAAGGTGCAATATCCTCACGGCTCCAGCTAATACCTACATCAGTATTTCTCATCAAAATTTTGTCGATGGGCCCTTTTTCTTGATCATGTCACCTTTGTGACTTGGCAGCCCCTTTGGTAATGGAGCCATATGCTTCATCGGAAAAATTGTTCATAGAAAATGTCAACGTCCTGCATTCCAGGTGTCATTTCCAGGTAAACTAAATAAAATATTAAAAAGCGCACATCCGTAAATTGGTGCTTTCAAACTTTTGTACGTACCCTTTGCTAGTGGTCGGTGGTCCGGTGGCATGCTACCCAGTAAAATTTCAGAGAATAGTGTGAAGTAATGAGATATTTCGCATGCTAGGCTACAGACCGTTTCAAATGCTAAATTTCCTGCCCATTCCTCTACAAACGGACAAATGAAAACTTGTCGTAAGCGAGTTTAATTATTGCTATCAAACTTTCGTGTGTGCACACTTGACTGGAGTATCACAAGAATGGTACAAACGCATGAAACACGGTCCTTGCATGCAGACCGGACAAGGGCGTCCTGTTTCGCTTGCCCGGGAGAAATCGCGTACAAAATTCGTTTGGGTGTTCGCGATTTTAACTGCAGTCTATGCTTTACTGATATGGTTTTGCACCCAATAGCCAGCAAGTGCCACACCCTGCACTATCTGACTGATAGAACTAAGAAAAGTATCCTAGTTCAGCACAGACACCTCGTGACACTCATGAAAACCCCCTCACTACCTTCCAAGCGGTCGCGACTCACAGTTTGAGAAACACTGCCTTAAGGGTACTAGCACCTCCAAGGAAAGTATCGTATCATTGCTCCATCCTGCTCACAATACTAGCACGTTATTGGAGAGTATGGCACCGTATCCTTGTCCAATCCTCTACAAAATATTGCCACCTTGCGCGATAGAATCGTAACTATAAAACAAATGGGAAGTTAAAAAATGTGTTTCTCTGCGGACCGCGCCGGTCACCTACCCATCCACGATCGTTCGCGGGATACCTCTCGATATTATTGCCGATCAAATAACAGGCGGCTTTCTTGAGTCTCTCCATGCGGCGTCTCGTCTTGCTGCTCTAGTTCCTCCAACCACCCTGCGAGCACAGGCTGCCAATAACAACTGCCTACACACCTGTGTTCGTACAGTGCAGTACCGTCGGTTCTCTCTCAGTTCGGTCTTCTCTTGTCGCAGCGACAACTACATCTGTTGATGTTCGCACGGCCCGTCGTTCTTTCACACGCGAGTCCACGACGCACGAAATGTCACTCGTGCTTCCTCTGACATTTCCCCTGTAGGTGGCGCCGGTAGCACCGATGTTAAGCTGGCATCTCTCGCGGCCCATCACTCGCCCTCAGTGGAGCAGATACGCGGCTGCGCCCTCTACCCGCAATGTGCGTGGGTCGGAACCGCACTGGCGCCCTCTATCTGCGAAGCGCACGGTGCTGGGACGCACCAGCGCCCTCTACCTGCGACGTGTGCGGTAGACGCAGATGCACACCGGTGGCTCCCTCTAGCCGGAGAAGAATCGCTGCACCTTGGGCGTGAGCAGCTTGATGAAGGACGACGGGAACATCGACTCGATGGCGTTGACGTACTTGTAGTAGTTGTACGGCTGCGCCATGACGTCGAGCAGGATCGACAGCAGCGTGCGATCCTGGAAGATCGCCTGGTGGTTGGTCGACTCGTACAGCCGGCCGTCCTGCACGATGTCCTCTATCAGGTCGTGGTACTCCTCTGCAACAACGAGGCAGGGCGGAATGGTGGGGTGAGAGTCAAGATGGAGGGATAACGATGCGTTTACAAAATTAGCGTTTTTTACCAACCTCTCTTTCTCACTCTCTCTCTCTCTCTCTCTCTCTCTCTTTGCCTCCATGTCTGGCTATTTGTCTGTCGGTCGGTCCATATGTTTGTATGTATTTTGTATGTCTGTTTACCTACCTACCTACCTACCATCCATCCATCTATCCGTTTTTTGTCCATCCATCCATCCAGCCATTTATCCACTTACTCATCCATCCGTCCATCTATGTATCTGCCTATATCTGGCCATCTATTTATCCATGTATGTATCTACCTTTCCGGCCATCTATTTATGTATCTACCCTTCCATCTATCTATCTATCTATCTATCTATCTATCTATCTATCTATCTATCTATCTATCTATCTATCTGTCTATCTATGTATCTATCTATCTATCTATCTATCTACCTCTCTGGCCATCTATCTATCTACCTATCTAACTATCTATCTATCTATGTATCTACCACTCCATCTATCTATCTATCTATCTATCTATCTATCTAACTATCTATCTACCTCTCCGGCCATCTATCTATCTACGTATCTACCTCTCCGGCCATCTATCTAGCTATCTATCTATCTATGTGTCTACCTCTCCGGCTGTCTATCTATCTACCTCTCTGGCCATCTATCTATCTATCTATCTATCTGTCTAACTGTCTAACTATCTAACTATCTATCTACCTCTCCGGCCATCTATCTATCTATCTATCTGTCTGTCTATATCTATCTATCTATCTAACTATCTATCTATCTATCTATCTATCTATCTATCTAACTATCTAACTATCTATCTATCTATCTAACTATCTATCTACCTCTCTGGCCATCTATCTATCTACCTCTCTGGCCATCTATCTATCTACCTCTCCGGCCATCTATCTATCTATGTATCTACCTCTCCATCTATCTATCTACCTCTTCAGTCATCTATCTATCTATGTTTGTATCTATGTATGTATCTATCAGGGTTCTCCAAGCTTTTTCATTATAGCATGGCGGGTTCTGCCTTTACGGTCCTAGTTGCAAATCGCCAAAGGCGGTTTGCGTGCTAGGGGGGTCCGGGGGCTATGATATTTAGAGTGGCGGGTGCATTTTAGGATGGCGGGACTCGACGATAGCCTGGCGGGCCGCCAGGCTATAAGTGCTCTTGGAGAACCCTGTCTATGTATGTATACGCGACGGTGCATTGAACTGTGATAAGTGTCGTTGCTTGGTACGCGCGGTGAATTGACTGCTACTGTGTGCGTAGCGCGCGTACCAGCTGACGTGCTTGCGTTACGCTTGGTGATTGACGTAATGCATTTCACGTTGCTGGTGCGCGCTGCGTATCTGAGTGGGCGGCATTGTTCTAGACGCGCCTGCGTGAGCGGCCGCATCAACGTGGCACTCGCGACTTCTTTGAGTCTCCAATACCCGCGGAACTACCTGCAGCAACACGAGTGCACGCCTGCGCAGGTGGCACCGGCAGAAGGGCGGCGCCGTATTTCCTATCGTCAGTGCCGCCTGACAATCCAGTTCGCTGCCGACCAGCTGCCGGAGACATGCTGTCTGAGAAGCGCAGGTAGGTGTATAGAGGGCGCTGTGCGAGACATATAGAGGCGCTGTAGCAGAGACATGCTCATCAGAGCATCTCTATACTAGGCTCTGAATGCTCGACATGAGGAAACCTACTGTTAATCATGTCAATCCTAACAATATAATACTAACTAGGCCCCTACTGTAGTTGACCTATCAGTTAGTGCAGCCCTTGATAATGCTATATTACTTACAGTGTGCGCACATAATTTGTGCAACCAGTCAATTAGAGTGCACTAATAGTGCAGTTTCACTAGTGTGGCACTAATTATTCACTATAAATTTGGTGTGGCAATTTTTTCTTCAGTACTATAATTAATACCGGTTACTAATTAGTGCACTGGATTCCTACACCGACAGCTTCGCCGACTCGGTGACGACGGCTACGCAGACTGTGAGTCGAACTCACGAGCCGTGTCGCCTCACGTCGCGCATCGCGCAAGCTGTGGGTGCAGTTCAAGGTCCGATGCCGACAACACGGCGCCCCGGCTTCCAACTACCCTGGGTCGCTATATACGGTAGCACCGGTAGCAATTTACTACAGTGGAGAGAGAGAGAGAGGAGGGCGGAAGAGAGATAGAATGAGAGTGGAGAGAAGAGAGAGTGTGGAGACGGGCGACGGAGGGAGGAGAGAGGGAGGATCGAGCGGAGGGGGAGAGAGAGAGACGAAGAGAGAGAAGGAGAGAAGGGGTGAGGGGGGAGAGAGATCGAGAAGCCAGAGATGAGAGGGACGAAGAGAGAGGAGGAAGCGGGACGAGAGAGCAGAGGGGGATCCGAGGGAGACGAGGAGAGAGGGGAGAGGATGGAGAGAGAGGGGCGAACAAAGAAGAGGGGATGGGGACTGCACGAAGAGAGGGAGGGAGAGTCGGAGAGAGAGCACGCTAGGGGGAGCGGACGAGAGGAGAGGAGAGGGGGGTCCGGAGAGAGGAGAGAGTAGGAGAACGAGGCGGAGAGTGGAGAGGAGAGGGAGAGAAAGGAGGAGAGACTCGGGGGAGGAGAGAGGTGAGACTGAGATGAGAGAGAGAGCAGAGACAGAGCAGATAGACGCGCCGGGGAGAAGCCATATATTATATATAGAGAGAGTGAATCGTGGAGCAGAGTCAATTCCCAAGCGATAGAAAGGGAGAGAATAGAGAAAGGGAGGGGATGAAGGGACAGATTAGACGAGAGGAGATGAGACGAGGAGAAGAGAGATGAGAGAGAGAGAAGAGAGAGGGAAGAGAGAGAGAGAGCGAGAGAGAGATGAGTGAGGAGATGGAGAGACGGAGATGAAACTGCGCAGGAGCAGCGATCGAGGAGAGCAGATGAGACGAAGAGAGGGAGAGAGGGAGCCAGAGACAGGAGAGAGCGCCAGGGAAGGAGCTTATATATATAGAGAGATGTGAGATCCGTGGAGGAAAGTTCAATGCCCCCAAAAAAAAGCACCGGTAATTTTAGGAGTGAAATAGCAGAAAGAGGCAATAGAGAGAGAGAGAGAGAAGAGGAGAGAGAGAGAGAGAGAAGAGAGAGTTCTGTGAGAGAGAGAGAGGAGATGAGGAGGACGATCGAGCGAAGAGAGATGAGAGAGAGAGATGAGAGAAGAGAGCAGAGAGTGAGAGAGAGGTTGGTAAACTGCATAATTTTGTAAACGTCATCGTTATCCACTCCATCTCGACTCTCAACCCAACCATTCCCGCCCTGCCTCGTTGTTGCGAGGAGTACACGACCTTGAAGAGGACATCGTGCAAGGACGGCACGGCTGTACGAGTCGACCCAAAACACAGGCGATCTTCCAGGATCGCACGACTGCCTGGTCGATCCTGCTCGCGTCATGGGCGCAGCCGTACAACTACTAGCAAGTACGTCAACGCCAGCTCGCAGTCGATTGTTCTCGTCGTTCATCAGCTGCTCACGCCGCAAGATGCACGATTCTATCTACCGGCTAGAGGGAGCCACCGTGTGCATCTGCGTCTACCGTCACACGTCGAGCGTAGAGGGCGTGGGCGTCCCAGCACCGTGCGTTCGGCAGATTAGATGGGGCGACCGTGCGGTTCCGGACCCACGGCACGATTGCGGTAGAGGCCGAGCCGCGTATTACTGCCTCCACTGAGCGGCGGCAGCTGATGGGCGCCGAGAAGATGCCAGCGTTAACATCGGTGCTACCGGCCGCACCGTACAGGGTGGGAAATGTCAGAGGATAGCACGAGTGAGCCATTTTCCTGCGTCGTGGACTCGGCCGTGTGAAAGAACGAGGGCCGTGCGAACATCAACAGAGTAGTTGTCGCTGCGACAAGAGGAAGACCGAATTGAGAGAGAACCGACACGGTACTGCACTGTACGAACCACACGTGTGTGTAGGCAGATTGCTTATTAGGCAGCTGCTGCTCGCAGGGTGGTTGGAGACTGCAGCAGCACAGACGAGACGCCGCATGTGAGAGACTCAAGAAATGCCGCCTGCATTATTTGATCGGCAATAATATCGAGAGGTTATCCGCCGCGAACAGATCCGTGCATTGGGTAGGTGACCGGCGCGGGTGCCGCAGAGAAACACATGTTATTTAAACTTCCATGTTGTTTTATAGTTACGATTCTATTCGCGCAAGTGGCAATATTTTGTAGAGGATTGGACATAGGATACGTGCCATACTCTCAATAAGCTGGCTCAGATATTCGCTGAGCAGGATGGGGAGCAATGATTACCCGATACTTTTCCTTGGACGGTGCTAGTCCCTTAAGGCAGTGTTTTCTCAAATGTGCAAGCGTGCGACCGGTTGGAAGTAGTGAGGGCCGGTTTTCATGAGTCTGTCCACGAGGATGTCTGTGCTGAACTAGGATACTTCTTAGTTCTTATCAGTCAGCAGTTAGTGCAGGTATGTGGCACTTCTGCTTTGGCATATTGGGTCCAAAACCGATTATCAGTAAAGCAATAGGACTGCAGTTAAAAATCGCGAACAGCCAAACGAATTTGTAACGCGATTTCTCGCGGGCAAGCGAAAACAGACGCCCTTGTCCGGTCTGCTATGACAAGGACGTGTTTAATGGTGTGTACCATTCTTGTGATACTCCAGTCAAGTGTGCACACACGAAAGTTCTGCATAGCAATAATTAACACTCGCTTACGACAAAGTTTCATTTGTACCGTTTGTTAGATGGATATGGGCAAGGAAATTTAGCATTTGAAACGCGTCTGTAGCCTAGCATTGCGAAATATCTTCATTAATTCACACTATTCTCTGAATATTTTACTGGGTCGGCATGCCACCGGACACCGACCACTAGCAAAGGTAACGCCTTACAAAAGTTTTGAAAGGCACAATTTAGGATGTGCGTTTTTAAATATTTTTTATTTAGTGTACTGGAAATGGACACCTGGAATGCAGCGACGTTGACATTTTTTCTAATGAACATTTGTTCCGATGATAGCAATATGGTCCATTACAAAAGCGGGCTTGCCAAGTCACCAAGGTGACAATGATTCCAAGAAAAAGGCCATCGACAAAAATTTTCGATGAGACAATATGATGTAGTATTAGCTGCGAGCGTGAGGATATTGCCACCTTCAATTTCTCACTGTGTATGACGTAATAAAAGAGAGGCGTCCAATGATCACGTCACGTCGTTCGGAGTAATAATTTATAATCACGTACCGTGTGTTTTAATTGTTCACTGTAAACATTTAATTTGTGTGGTGCTGCGTGTATGCGGTCGGCGGGTGTATTTTACGGGCGAAAGATGACAATGTTATTACAGAGGCAAAATAAAATCCTGGTGTAATCGCGCTCTAAATAGTGCGTGCGTTTTGGCCATGAGCGATATACTGAATTGTATTAAGTATTGAACGTGTACTTTATCCACGCAATATGACCAGCCAGTTCAAATACAAACACTGCAATGAACGGACAGATAAATGCGATGAATTAGGTGGATGGATGAACGGAATGAAATTAATATGAACATACAATAAACAATTACTAAAATTAAATAATGCCTATACAAATTGTAAGGAGAGCCAGAACACAATTTATTTTAATATTTACATCACTCTCCATGTGACCATGACTTGCTTAACCAGATTATACCTTCACTGTGGACGTTCCTGCTTAAGAAACTATGCTCGGCATGCATATTAATGGCAATAAATTGTCCAATGTTAATATCTCACTTCTGTATCTTAGAGATTCATCTTAGACTTTAGAGGAAAAGCATTTGAAAA